TACTCAGCGGTCGTCTCAGGGTTACACCTTCAGCCTTGGCTCTGGTTCAGTTTCTTGGCGTTCTACACGCTCGTCTTCTGTTCTCAGCTCCAGTTGTGAGGCTGAGATCTACGCCACAGCCATGGCTGCACAGGAGTTACGCTGGCTCACCTACCTGCTGACCGACTTGGGAGAGCGGCCTCGTTCTCCTCCAGTGCTGTACGTCGACAACAAGGCTGCCATTGCCTTGTGTGAGGAGCACAGACTGGAGCACAGAACGAAGCATATCGCTCTGCGCTACTTCCTTGCTCGAGAGCTGCAGCAGCGCGGTCAGCTTCGTCTGCGTTACGTGGCCACTCGGGCCAACACTGCTGATGTGTTCACCAAGGCGCTTCAGCCTTGTGACCATCAGCGCTTCTGTACTGTTCTAGGCCTCGTGCCTACTGGGCCTCACTTGCTTACTTCTTGACTCTGCTTGTACTGTGATCTCTATATATATACCTGCTTGTTTACTCTTGCTAGGTTGTGATCACTGTATCTCTTGTTATACTATCAACCTGCATGTGAACTGGTCTTGTGACCACTTGCTTGTGCTCAGAATTTGTGTGGTTTCCTTGAGATCCACCCTGAGCTTGCTTTGCTTTGCTTTGACTGGTCTTGTGACCATCTGGTTGTCTACCACTTAGCCTCTGGGGGTGTGTCAAACATTATATGTTTATATTGTGTAGGCTATAGTGGGTTTAGCCTTAGGGGGTACAGCTTTTTTAGGGTTTCCTACTTGTATCCCCCTCCTACCTAGTTTCATCCATTCTCGTTCTATTCTAGATTCTAACAATCGGCACTTCCACCACGTTGCTGTCGGTGGACTCCTCACCCGCCGACTGCTCCCCTTCCTCATCGACGTCCTTGTCGTAGACCAGCTGCTTCGGCCCTTCGACCAGCTGCTCACCTGCTGCTGACTTCGACAACTCCTCTGTCGACTGCCCCAGCTGCTGCTCCCCTGTCAACTGCGCTCCTGCTGCTGCCTCTTGTTCGACCGGCTCCCCTGTCGTCGACGGCTTCCCATCCTGGGCTGCAGTGGCCGGGAAAGAGTAGCGGGCAACTACAGCGTCGTACAGTGCCTTGGCAGTCTTGTGCTGGCTAAAATGCGCGCGCTCTGTGATCGGCAGATGGTTGCGAATAGCTAGGCGTGCAGCAGCATCGCGGGTCTGCCACTGGGAGCGGTCTAGAGCAGGCTCAGTGTCAGCAGGAGCAACGGCAGTGCCAGACACGTAATCGAACAGGGAAACACCGTCCTTGGCATCAGTCAGGAGGAACAGTTGCAGGTCGTCGAGCCAGGTGGCGAACTCTACTGGACGACCGTCAGGATCAAACGCGAGCACATTAAGCGTAGCCATAGTAGCAGTGCAAGCAAGGCAGCGGAGAAGGTGCGCAGGGCAAGCAAACGCGCGCAGTAGGGAGACACGCACGGCAGGAAAGGTGCTCAAGGCAAGCAGGCGCACTTGGCAGGCAGGCGCTCAAGGCAAGCAGGCGCTCAAGGCAGGCAGGTGCTCTTGGCAGGCAGGCGCTCAAGGCAGGCAGGCGCTCAAGGCAGGCGCTCTAGGCAGGCTAAGACAGGCAGGCGCGCGGCTCACGGGCGTCACACGGGCAGGGCACGCGCGGCTGCGGGCTGCGCGCGGCTGCTGGCTGTGCGTGGCGACGGGCTGCGCGCGGCTGCGGGCTGCGCGCGGCTGCTGACTGCGCGTGGCAACGGGCTGCGCGCGGCTGCGGGCTGCGTGCGGCGGCGAGCTACGCGGGCGGGGCCTAAGCGGGCTGCGCGCGGTCAGCTTAAGCGGCGCGCGGGCCGGCAGCAGACTGCGCGGGTGGCTGACGCGGCGCGCGGGGCCGAAAACGGGCTGCGCGGGCTGCTTAAGCGGCGCGCGTGGGAAAAAAAAAAGGGGGACGCGCGCGTGCAACCAAGGCGCGCGCGGGCAGCAGGCAAGGCAGGCAGGCAGGCAAGGCCGTAGGTGAGGTAACGCGGTAACCGGTGGGCCCTAATCTTAGGTCCTAAAGACCTATGCTCTAGATACCATCTTAGAAACTTAGGCATGAGTGGATGGCAATGTCGAGAGATTTTGGTACAAGGAAGAAACCTAAGGGGTTGTACCCCACAGTATCTACCCCACTACAGCCTACCCAAAACAATAACACACATATATATGTTTGACAGGGTGTTCCGTCGCCCACTGCGACCGGATGCCCAGCTCGGCGATCACCAAGGGGATCGTCCCGTACTCGCCATCCGCGTGGCGTCTCCTCGCGTCAGCCAAACGTGCCTCCAAGGTGTCCGCTACACCCGCATCAACTACGGGGTCGACCATGGTGACAATCGCTGCTGCCGGCCTACGAACGACTTAGTAGGTGCAAAAGTCAGCTCCTATCTGAAGGTCGCGTGTTCGTTCCACGCTCACCGCACCATGCGGAGATTCACTCCACAACGGTAGTGAGCTAGACTACGGGGGTTGGCACGAACTACTAGGAGTGATCGTAGCTTTGCTTAGTTCCTTCGTGCTTGCACATTCACGGGAGAAATCGGCAATAGTTTCCACTAGGCAAAGTCGAAATTACATCATGGTTGAACAAGCAATGACAGAACGACTACATCAGGCACCTCGCAACTCTGCAGCTAGCCTGGTCGACCGCCAGCACAGCTCGGTCGACCGCCTGCCAGCGTTGCGTAGAGGAGCCGCGCCAGCACTGCAGAAGGGCGACCTGCCAACAGAGCAGGTCGACGGCGTACCAACGCTGCAACAGAGCGGCTGTCCAGCGTTGCCCCGTAGAACACAACAGTGCGCACGCTCGCAGGTGCGCTAAGACGATTGGCCCGATTTGCCTCGTTGGGCATCCGTCGGCTGTTGTCTGCGCCTGACGAGCCACATCGACTTCGGGATACCAGCGCAAAGTCGCCTGCGCCATTGCAACCTTGACGACGTTCGCGTGCCTCCGCAGAACTCGTCGAGCAGATTACCCGGTCGACCTGGTCGACCCCCATGTGCTTTGGTCGACCCCCAGGTGCCTCCGATCGACCACGGGGTCCCTCTGGTCGACCAGCAGGTGCCTCTGGTTGACCACAACTCCCGTCTACCCCCTGGTCGACGAGCCCCTTCCGTCGACCAGAACAGTCAGCGGTTGTCGCCGAGCTCCCCTCGTCGACCCCTGCTCACTTGTCAGGTCGACGAACTGCTCCGTCGACCTCCTGGTCAAACTGCAGGTCGACGGACTGCTCCCGGTCGAGCTGCAGGTTGACGGACTGCTTCCGGTCGAGCCGTAGGTCAACGGACTGCTTCCGGTCGAGCCACATGTCGACGGCCTGGTCCGTTGACCTTCCGGTCGAACTGCCCCTCCTGGTCAACGGCCCACCCATTGCCCAGACTAGTCAGTTGCAGCTGTCGAGCTCCCTGGTCGACATCAACACCACAGCGGTCCCATGCAGCTCGACGAAGCCTGTCGAGCAGCTCTCCCACTGTGAAAGGTCGGCTGCTACTCCCGTACACCCGACCAAGTCGTCGGCGTTGCCCAAGCGAGGGCGGGACCAACACTCTACTCCCGTTAACAGGAGCGTGACGTCGAACAACCATGCGTCAAAATCACTTGCCAGCTACTCTGCATCGAGCTGTAATACAATATCGGGCGCCATGAGAGGAGTGAGCAGGTTGATGAAAAGGCTGATGAGCACCAAGCGGGAGAAGGGGTGTTATTGGTGGATCAGAGGGCTCAAATTCATTTTAAGGTTGGTTGATTGATCTGCCTTGGTTTGAAATAAAAAGAGCTAGAAAAATCAATGTTACTGATAAATTAGTGTCACTAAGAAACAAGAGTCTGATTCTATAGGCTATACAATATTGCACCTTCACTCGATTATGCTCAGGATCGGCAAGCACACCAGCTCATGAGAGTGCGCATGCTAAGGGGAGCGGGGGCTACGGTGCGGACTATGGGGCGGGCTACAGTAGTACAAAATTCAGTGTTCCCCTTATATCTTAGGCCGACGAATAAGTGTATAGTATAGAAAAAATGCTAAAAAATAAGTGTACAGGTGAAAAAAAAGACTGAAAGATCAGCCTCCACAGAAAAAAGCCTGAAGTTTCAGCCTTTTTTTTTAACATAAATCAACCTTTTTTTGACTACATATGAGGCACTGTAGTGGATGCGGAACTATGTTTGTGAACATGTATATATAGATTACATTGTGAGCAGGTTTTTTAAAAGTAGTATACTCTTGATTAAAAACTAGTGAATATATAGGGTTCTACCAAGCTCTATTGTAACATTTGAAGGATTTCAAGGTCAATATTCAGAAGTGGATTGTAAGAAATTCACTATATTGCCGCAGTGTTCTCTGTAGTTTCTAAGTGGTAGTTTGCTCCGTAAATTGTGACAATCATGAATCGCATTCGTCCAATAAGAATTGAACAATTTCAAGCAAGCGAAGGTTTTGCTGGTTGCTGAACGAAGTGTGTGTCAGCGAAGCTACGGGAAAATCTTGGTCGTCGGTTGTTTCACCTTGATATGCGGGATGCGCATGTCCTCTTCCACGACGGGAAAGGGACGTTGGCTCTTCGATCCTCGAATGTTGGCAAGAGCCAATGGAGACGAGCTTCTGTTCTGCGCACTGGAATTTCGCACCTTACGGGGCTCATCCGTTTCTCTCCCACCACGCTCCTTGGGTTGGGTACCCGAGCTGATGGAGGAGACACCCCTTCAGCTTGCTTGCATCGTTGTGCCTGCTGGTGGTAGGAAAACTGGGGTTTCATTGCACATAAGGGGAGCTCCCAAGAACCTTAGGCTCAGTTGTGAGCTGAATTTCCGCGCTTAGACTTGATATTATATATGCTCTTCGCGTAGGTTATCTACTTCTATATTTTTAGAGCTTTGCGCCTCGGCTGCTGAACTTGCTTTCAAGTTTGTGTCAAGTACTACTCTACCAACTTCTGTCAACATAGTGCTTCTTACTGACTTTTGGACACACTTTTACATCTTCAATGGCGGAGACTGTTGCTAGCAAGGCAGGAGAAGACAAGCCGAAGGCGGCTTCTTCTCCTGCAGTCAAGGCTAAAGTTCCTGCTTCCAAAGTTGCTAAGCCAAAAGCTGTGAAGTCGAAGTCTCCGAAGCCTGCCGGTGCCAAGCCAAGAGCTGCCAGGGCTAATCATCCGAAGTACATTGAGGTACGCATTTGAAGTCATGGAGACATTAAATTCGAAAGTTCCTCGCTTAACACTATCTCGTTGTTGTGATGGTGCAGATGGTGAAGGAAGCTATTGTGGCCTTGAAGGAAAGAACTGGTTCAAGTGTGCCTGCCATTGCCAAGTATATCGCTCAAAAGCACCCAGACCTTCCTGCCAACTGGAAGAAGACCTTGGCCATTCAACTGAAGAACTTGACCAAGGCTGGCAAACTTGTGAAGGTGAAGGCTAGTTTCAAGCTTGGAGGTGAATTGAAGCAAGCGAAGCCTGTTCGTGCTCCAGCGAAGAAGACCCCCACGACAGTGAAGAAGGTGGCGAAGCCTAAAGCTGCGTCGAAGCCACGACCCAAAGCTGTTCCGAAGGCTGTCAAGTCCGCGAAGCCATCGACTCCGAAGAAGGTTGCGACGCCTGCTAAGTCCCCCGCGAAGAAGCCTTTGCGCGCAGCCCCGAAGGTTAGGAAGGTGACGGACAAGAAGCCAGCGGTTAAGAAGGTGACACCCAAGGCAAAGGCTCCATCGCCAAAGAAGGTCAAGACAGCTGCTCGGGCTTCTCCTAGGAAGCCACCTGCCAAGAAGGCCAAGACAGCTGCTAAGAAGTGAGCCTCGCAGGCTTAAATGTTGACTGGACGATTGTATAGCCTATGTGTGATGGCATTCTGACTAGGATTCGTTTTTTCCCCTTGTCCTCCACTTGTGCATTTTGTCTGGATGAGTATAACATGACATGCTTGGTTTGTGCTCCTATTATTAAATCGCTGTTCTCTAGCCATTACTGAACTTTCCATTTTGTATCTCTGCTCTTGGGATGAAATTTGGTGCTCTCTGCTTTTCATTCTATGGGAGGGGAGAGAGGGTGCATTTTGTCAAGATGAATAAGGTAACAGCAGAGTTGGTGCCTGCCGTTTAGTTCATGGGGAACACATCCACCGCTGATTTTGTTGCCACTTATAGGCGCCAATGGCTCCACAATTACTTGTATCATGCACCAGTCAAATCACCACGCGCCTTGAAGCGACCAAGCACCACCTTCATCCAGTACACCATTTTTTCCTCTCAAGATTCACACAAGTCTACCCCTATCCCTTACTACGCTGGCCCGTCCCACCAACCTCTCCCTTGTCCTGCACCCTAAAGGTGAAGTTGAGCCGGCCTGGAGTCATGACAAGGTTTGGTGGTCTGGTTCCTGGGACGAGATCTCTGGTTCCATGATACACAAGGCGCGAAGCAGCTCCAAAGACCAGCACGTCTCCACTTGATAGAGACACAAACCGCTCCCTGTCCAGGGAATGAAAGTATGTGGGAAGAGTCACAAACTGTGGGAACATGCCAGCCCAAGAAGCATTGGCTGGAGTGGTGGGAACATACCAGTACCAGCCAAAACGAGAACGTGTGCACACACGAATGCATGGTTGCATACTTGCATATGTACGCCTGCAGATCGCACCTGTTATGCGCAGCATCGCCGAGCGCAGAGCGCGCAGCAGCCACCGGGTCGTCAATCTGCACTGCAATGCCGGACCGACGGCGGTGCAGAGGAGGGAGTGGCCGGAAGAAGAACTTCATAGTGTCGCCCACACTCACGCTCACCTGGGATCCAGGAAACATGCACACCGTACAGAATGCAAACATATGCGATCAGGTAACTTCTGATGCGTTGCAATAGGTGCAGAGGAGGGAGTGGCCGGAAGAAGAACTTCATAGTGTCCCCCACACTCACGCTCACCTGGGATCCAGAAACCAGGCCCACCGTATAAAATGCAAACAAAGAGGTGAACAGAACGGACCCCCTCTCTCCCCTCCCATAGAACAGAAGCAAATTAGATGTCGGTCGGACTCGACCCTGGACATTTATAGTTCAGTCGCTATGAGAAGTACATGTTAGAAAATGTTAAAACAGGCGTGCAGCCCTCATTCCTCATCTAGAACTCTAGACGCCCTCCCTTACTGCTGCCTACCACGGGCATGTTGTACGAGTCGTCTCGATCCTGGTGCCCTCCCAGCCCTATCCGCCCCAGTTCTTCCGCGCGTGCCTGTCGCGAGACAAACAGCACATATGCAAGGTTTGATGAACAAGAGACATGTATATTTGGCATGCAAGGCGCACATGCAGTTCCACAACAGGGTTGTTGTTAATGCTGCTGCTGCTGCTGTGCCATCTCCATTAGGAATGCACATGCACGGAGATTGAGGAGAATGAATGCAACGTTCCGTACATGGACTAGAATCACACGGGCTTACTGGGTAGAAGTTCACAAGGCAAACGTCTGGAACAAAGGTGTCGAGAATAGCAGCTGCTTCTTTTCCTTCCCCCAGAGCTGCTGCTGCTGCTGCAGCTGCTGCTGCTGCTGCTGCTGCTCCTCCTCCTCCTCCTCCTCCTCCTCCTCCTCCTCCTCCTCCTCCTCCTCCTCCTCCTCCTCCTCCTCCTCCTCCTCCTCCTCCTCCTCCTCCTCTCCCGCTTTCCACCCCTCCCTCCTCTCCTCCCCCCACTCCTCTTCCCCCTCCCCCTCCCCCACCGTCCCAGAACACAGGGCTGTGCGAGTGTGCTTCGAGAGCAAGACTCCGGGCGAGGTGAGCAAGGTCAGGGGGGATGGGCGGGGCCCATGCCGCAGCGGCATAACGGTTGAGCGTGCTGCTCCACGCTGCACCCCAACAGGTCTGAGATAAAAGGGAAGGGAGAACCCCAACAGGAGTGGGAGGGAGACACACAAACAGACACAGAGGCACACAAGCAGGCGCACGCACGCACGCAGACAAGAACACGCATTGAGTTGCCCCCAGAATCGGAGGGAGGCTAAGGGAAATGGGAGTGTGCTCCAAGAGCAAGGCACCGGGCAAGATGAGCAACGTCAGGGGGGATGGGCGGGGCCCATGCTGCCGAAGCATAGCGGTTGAGCGTGGAGCTCCAAGCCGCACCCCAACAGGTCTGGGGATAGGGATGGGAGCACCCCAACAGGACCGGAGGGAGACACGCACACGGATCAGAGACACGCACACGCAGGCACGCATGCACCGACGCACGCATGCACGCACAAACGGTAACAAACATACACACGCACATGCTGTATTAGAAAGTGGTCGATTGGCACATGTTGCCAAATGGGAAATAGGGAACTGGGAGGATACACAGTGCAGTGCTCGGTACAAAAGAGAGGAGAGACTAGGTATATATTACGAAGAAACAGGTGGTAGGTAGTATCTGCCTCCCATCCCCCCACTCACCGAGTACAGGTGGTATCTGTCTCCCCATCCCCCCACTCACCGAGTACAGGTGGTATCTGTCTCCCCATCCCCCCACTCGCCGAGTACAGGTGGTATCTGTCTCCCCAACCCCCCACTCACCGAGTACAGGTGGTATCTGTCTCCCGATCCCCCCACTCACCGAGTACAGGTGGTATCTGCCTCCCCCAGCAGTGACTGGCCTGCGGAACAGGTCCCGTGTCTCCTGCGCTGCCTGCACAAACCGCTGCTGCTGCTGCACTGACAGCCGCCCCCGCAGCAGCACCATGCTGCCATGGCACGCGCGTGGCAGGGGAAGAAAAAGAGAGTGGGGGGGGGTGGGGGAGGGATTTGATTCGCGTGTGTGAGAGGAAAGGAGAGGGGAGGTGGAAGCAAGGAGGAAGAGAACGGTACTGCAGACAGGGAGGGACCCGTTGCTCTTCGTCCCTAGGAGCTGAGACGGTTTTTATTTGAAGGCGCCTCAGAAACCATTCTCCTTCGACCACGCGTCCTCTCCTCCTGTTTCCATCCTTGGCCCACTTACCCTGGCTGCAGAACAGTCACACGGACTTTCTCCCGCCCTGCAATCCCCTCCCCATAGCCTGTAGCAGCAGGGGTTGCAGCAGGAGGGACCACTGCAGCAGCAGGCAGGGCACTTGGCAGGGAAAGTCCGCATGTTGCATCTGGGATGGGAACCCCTTGCTTGGAGGAACGGGGAGGAAAGGACAGAGGAAAGGGAGGAGGAATGGGTGGAGGGGAGAGGAAGGAGGAGAGGCGGGGTTGGCGGAGCTTGTCCGGGCAGAGGAAGTCAAGAGGCGCTGCAGGGAGCGAGCCAGAAGGAGAGGGGGAAGGCGCAGGCGTGGGGGAGAGTGCAGGTGAAAGCGCAGGGGAAAGGGCAGGGGAAAGGACGGGGGAAAGGGCGGGGGAAAGGGCAGGAGAGAGGGCGGGGGAAGACAGGGGAAGGTGTGGGCAACTGCGTGGTTGTTGACTTTTTTGCAGCAGGAGTTGTAGTGGCGCCTGAGGTTGCTGGGTTAGGCGAGGGTGTTGCGCTGAGGAGAATGGGTATTGAATTGCAGGGGGAGATGTTGCTGTGGAGGAGTAACGGGATGTTGCGGATGGTGCTGATGCGGATGGTGCTGATGTGGATGGTGCTAGCCCTGGTGCTGCTACAAAGCGGTTCTGATGAAGGCTATACGTGATTGCAGTGCTGCCTTCCCCTGTGCCGCCTTCCCCTGTGCCGCCTTCCCCTGTGCCGCCTTCCCCTGTGCCGCCTTCCCCTGTGCCGCCTTCCCCTGTGCCGCTCTCACCGTCCACTCCTTCCACTCGCCATCTTCGCCTCTTACCACGGACCTCGTGATGCAAGGAAGCGGCAGTATTATGGCTGATTTCCTTCTCACCCCCCTCGCAGTCACTCTCCTCACAGTCACCCCCCTCGCAGTCACCCTCCTCGCAGTCACTTGCATTGCCTCGCCCCTCTTGTTCCGTTTGAGCTCCAGCATCAAGCGCTACAGAAGCAGCAGCAGAGGCAGCGGTGGTAACAGCAGCCTCCTCCCGACCTGGTAAAGAATTCCCCGCTGTTTTTTCTCGCATCCGCTCGCCATCCCCAACCCACGCGCTCTCCTCTCTCAACACCTCGGGCACCTCTTCTGACTGCATTACGCCCGTATCCCTGACCATTTCCGGCACCAGAGATAGTTGAAGTGTATCTCGCGTCAACTCAGAGTACAGTTGCTTGTGAAAAACCTCATTTGCTTCGTGGGCTGAAATTTCCTTGACCATCCTTCGCGGGAGATCAGGTTTTCCCGAGCCCCTGTTCTCTCCTGCGAGCGTGCTCCTGTAAAAGTCACGATGGGCCTCATCACTCGCTGCTGTCACGAAAAAGACTCCACCAGGATCCGATCCCGAACCATCGTCTCTCTCCGCGTCCGTTTCTCGCCGCATAAGACGGAGAGACAACTCAGTAGTAGCTGAAGCACCTACGGTACCAACAGTATCAGCTATACCAGATGCTCCAGCACGAACCGCTCCAACCATACCAGCAATTGATTTACCAGCAGCACCAGACCGATGTTTCGGCTGTTTTCCTCCGCACGCCGCCGCGGTTGCATGCTCTATTCCTAGCGATGCCTGTTCGCCAGTGCCATGATTGCCCGTTCTTTCGCCGTCACGCGGTATTTCCGCAAATTTTGACGGCAGCGGAATCGACGGGCGAGGGCCTGACGGGATAGGACATGACGACAAACGGTTTGATTGCAAATGGCTTGAAGGCTGAATCGTCGCGTCCAGGCACTCATTCACGTGGAACAGCATGCGAGACCGTGCGACGTGCTTCTCGCACACCACGCATCGCCACAGCCCGCTACGGCTTTCGCCAGTTTCATTCCTTTCGTTGGCCTCGCGCGAAGACGTGCCAACGAAATCGGCCGCGAGAGGCTGGTTTCGGTTAAAGCCTGAGGCATTTGAGCCGATACGTCTGCATTTGTCCACGCCGCGGCGCGGAAACTTCGCAGCTCTCTGCTGCGACGGAGCCAGTGCCATTAGTCGCCGTAGGGCGTCGTCGGGTCTTCGCAGCTCTTCGCGCGAAGACATGGTGGAAATTGTAAATTGATGCACTTGGTGGAATCGGGTGAGACATCCGCACGTGGACAGACTGCCTGTCGCGTGGTTGTGTGCGCAGCGCTGTCAATAATAGTAGACGGAATGTCGAGAAAACAAGGTTGAAAATGAGCGAATTGAGTGTACAGAAGTCTCTAGGCGATAATGGGTTGGAACTTGGAAGTAGCAAGCGGAGTCGTGAGCAGCACGCTCTATCTGTCCGCCTGTGTTGAGCCGAGTTATCACACTGGAGACTACTGTATCGCGCAAAAACTCGATTAGAATATGACAGACCGAACTGCACCTGAAACTGATTTCGAAAGCAGCACAAACATTTGAGAGTCCAAAAATTAGGCGGGAAAAAGACGCGCTGACACTTAGATATGTTCTAAAGGGAATTTCGCATACCCTGAATGCTCCTCTAGCCCTCCAGACCCCGCCAAATGTTTTGAAGTACCCATGGAAGTTCAGAAGAAGGGGCATGCGACGGGTTTTGGAATAATGAATAGCTGTAAAGTTCCTTTATATGGAATACAGTTCTTTATAATACAGGCACAATTATCCCCTCCAGAAGTAGAACCTTGCCTCGGCAATCACTGCCCGCGTCAATCTCTATGACATGCACTGCGCAGCGACGACAGCGATCTCACGTGTGCCACGTGTCACCAATCTTGCCGCTGCGCCAGTGCCATCACATCATCCTCCCCCTCGACACATCCCGCCCCAAACATCTTCCCTTCCCTTCCACAACAACCTGTTCATTCCCGCTCCCCTTCTTGTCTCCTTGTCTCCTCCATCGTCCCGTCCCGTCCCATCCCATCTCCCCCCTCTCCTTGTTCTCTCCTAGTACTATCCTCCCTGCTTGTCCTGTAGTCTGTCACTTGTCCCAGCTCACCTCTTGATCCCAACAGGCCAGGCAAATATCCTGCATTCATTACCGTCGGACGATTATCATCACAAGGGCATTGGAACGCGGGCATGGATTGCTTTGTCCGCTCGATAGTGTGACCTTCCAGGCACAGAGCCTATGACTGATCATCTTGTCTTTGTCTCATTGCCTCATTGCGGCTTTTTCCAAGCACGTCGAAGCTTTAAAGTTGCTGCATTTCCTGAACTCTGTACGCTTCCGTATTGTTTCGAACACAACGCCGCACCACCTCCTGCTCTCGGCGCTCCCCGACTCGCGCTATGGATCCGTCTGATCTCAAGCATCTGACCACGCCTCGTTCTTCCCTCGACAACCCTCCATTTTCCGCAAAAGCGCCTCTTTCATCTCCCGACGCCCCTCGTTCTCCCTCGGCGAACCAGCTCCACCCGAAAAAGAACCGCCTATTTCGCTCCACAGATTGTCGCCAACCCCCCGGCGAATCATCTCTCCGTTTTTCCCAGCGCCGCCATTTCTCCGCCGCGCGTTCGTTGCCCTCGGGCTCCAACGCGCCCGCGCATCTCGTTTCGCCGTTGGACCCGTCACTCTCCTCCTCCTCTTCCGATGAGGAGGACTTTCCAATCGCCGTCCACCGTGCAGCACCGCTCCAAACCGCGCAACCGCCCGTTTTTTCCGCGCATCTCTCCGCGCAGCCGGCCCCCCCGCAGGGCGCGTCCGCGCGCCTCCCCGCCTCGTGGTTTCAAGAAGCGGCGGCGGGAGCGAATCGGTGGGGTGCCCGGGTGCGATACAGAGGGAGGTTGAAAGTGACTGAAGAGAGATATTATCCAGAGGCAGAGGCATGGAAGAGACAGCGGGAGAGAGCGAGAGAGAGGGAGAGGGAGAGGGAGAAGGAGAGGGAGGAGGAGATGGAGTTGGAGAGTGGAGATGAGGAGGGATCAATGAGAGCTGGATCGGATGCTGCTGAAGATGATGAGGAGGACGATGGTGGGGAAGGCGATGGAACGATGGGGATGAATGATGGGAAGGAGGAGAGGGAAAAGGAGAGGGAAGCGAGAGTGGAGGGGTGTGACGGAAAGGAGAAAGGGGGATTTGGTGGATGTGGTGCGAATATGGTGGAGGGTGTGGAGGGTAAGGAGGAAGTAAAGAGAGAAAATGCAGAGGATGAAATTGAGGAAGGGGAGGTATTATCTGATGAGGAAGATGCACAGGAAGGTACAGAGGAAGGAGCAGTGGAAGAAACGGAGGAAGACGCTAAGGAAGATGCCACGAAGGATGAGCCAAAGGAAATCTCGATGGGTGATAATCAGCAACAGAGAGTGATGGAGGTAGAGGAACGAGAGGAGAGGGAGAGGGAGAGGGAGAGGGAGAGGGAGAGGGAGAGGGAGAGGGAGAGGGAGAGGGAGAGGGAGAGGGATAGGGAGTCAGGGACGCAGCGAGTAGCTAAGGTAGAGCCAGATACTGCTATGGATGTTGAGACCAAAGGTTCAGTGGGGTGGGAGGGGGAGGAGCGAAAGTTGCAGGCGAGGGTGAAGACGGAGCGAGAAGAAGGATGCAGCGAGAAGGAGAGTGGGCATGGTGGCTGCTCTGCTAGTGGGGTTGGTGTGGGTGGTGCGCGTGATGTGTGTGGTATGGGTGGTGTGTTTGGTGTGACCACCAAGGTGAATGATGAAGGTGGGGCGAAACGGAGGGAGTTAAATGAGGGAGGAGGCGCAGAGGGAGATATGGGTGTTAAAAAGGAGGAGGCGGAGGGGGAGGAGGAGGAGGGAGGGGTTGTGAAGACTGAGGATGGGTATGAAAAGGAGGATAGGCAAGGGGCGTTTGAGGTAGAGGATAACGATGATGATGATGATGATGATGATTGTCATGTGAAAGTTGATTTTCGTGATGATGATGATGATGATGATGATGGCTGTGCTGATGCGGATGGGGACGCTGATGGTGTTAACGATTACATTGATGTTGATGATGATGTAGGTGATGGTAATGGTGATTCTGATGGTGATGCTGATGGTGATGCTGCTGCGGGTGATGGTGATGGTGATGGTGATGGTGATGGGGATGCTGCTGCCGATGATGATGATGATGATGATGACGATGATGACGTGGTGTTTGTGGATGAAAAAGAAGCGGACCTGTTTCCACAAGGTCAAAGGGAAAACCTCACCGGAGTCAGGGCATCGCCTGCAGCAGCAGGGACGGAGAGCGCACCAGGATCAGGCGCAGCAGCAGCAACAGCAGCAGCAAGCCCACGGAAGAGAAGGAAGCGTTTGATACGGCCACCAGGAGGAGAAGCAGCGGATGGGGATACCCATGCCAAGGCTCCCCATGGAAGAAGAAGACAACAAGGCAGTGCTTATGGCGGTGCCGGGGGGAGTTTTGGGTCAGCTCTGAACATACCTGGTGGTGGTGCTGCTGCAGTGGCCCACTTCTGGCAGGACGAGGCGGAATACAACTCCCTACACAAGGTAGATAGAGTCGTTCTGGTGCTCTTATGAGTCGTCTCAACATGACTTGTGAGTCGATTAAGATTTGAAATACGAATTTCCTGCATGTGAACAAGGTCGCGCCTACATGTTGCGTGTGCTTTGTCGAGCAGAATCGTCTTGCGTTGTTTTTGTTTTGTTTCGTTTCTTTTACGTCCCTCTTCCTCCGTTCTTTTCTCTGCTCTGTTCTTCTAAAAGAGGCTGTGTAAGAAGGCTCGAGGAGGTCAAGTAACAAGCAGCCAAATATCTGGTTTATAAACATTGCTGCAGATGCAGGCACAGGAGGTTTGTGAAGTTGCAAGCCTTCCATTTCCCTCGGTCCATCGACTCAACTCCCTCCCCTGCTCTATGGCTGCAGATGCGAGCATAAGCCACTGGCCTTCCCTGGGGAGTGATGCAAGGGTGTGAGGGCTTCCTTTTCAGTTGCTAAAAAGTTGTCCATTTCCCTCGGTCTATTTATTCTACTACCTCTCCTCCGCTGTGGCCCGTTGTGTCTGCAGATGCGAGCGCAGGACACTGGTCTCCCCTGGGGAGTGATGCAGGGGTGTGAGGGGTGCCGTTACCGCGGGTGTTACCGATGCTGCCACGTGTCGGCACGCTGGAAGCCGGATGAGTCACGACGGCCCTCTGTGGGAGAGGCACCCACGTTTTACCCCACTGCCGAGGTACGTTGTTGCTGCTGCTGTTTGTTTTTTAGTCTACTAAAAAACGCGACGGCCCTCCGTGGGAGAGGCACCCACGTTCTACCCCACTGCCGAGGTGCGTTGCTGCTGTTAGCTGTTGTTGTCGTTGCCCTCCTTGTCATTGCTGGTATGTGTGTGTGTGTCTGTCTGTGTGTGTGCGTGTGCGTGCGCGCGCGCGTGTGCGTCCGTCACAATACTAAAACCCGAAGCTCAAAACCATCCTCGTCTTGGTGCTGGTGCTGTCAATGATGTCGTTGCTCTCCTTGTCATTGTCGGTTTGTGTGTCTGGCTGTCTGTCTGTCTGTCTGTCTGTCTGTCTGTCTGTCTGTGTGAGCACGCGCAGGCGCGCGCGTGTGTGTCCGTCACAATACTAAAACCCGAAGCTCAAAACCATCCTCGTCTTGGTGCTGGTGCTGTCAATGATGTCGTTGCTCTCCTTGTCATTGTCGGTTTGTGTGTCTGGCTGTCTGTCTGTCTGTCTGTCTGTCTGTCTGTCTGTCTGTCTGTCTGTCTGTCTGTCTGTCTGTCTGTCTGTCTGTCTGTCTGTCTGTCTGTCTGTCTGTCTGTCTGTCTGTCTGTCTGTCTGTCTGTGTGAGCACGCGCAGGCGCGCGCGTGTGTGTCCGTCACAATACTAAAACCCGAAGCTCAAAACCATCCTCGTCTTTCCCACCAGGAGTTTTCCAATCCAGTGCGCTACATCCAGTCAATCCAGCGGCTAGCAGAGGAGCACGGGATATGCCGCATCGTGCCACCCGCCTCCTGGACGCCCCCTGCAAACGCCTCAGAATCCATGTATAACAACCTCCCCAACCCCCCCCCCCCCCACCCACTCACCTAACAGGAGTTTGCCAATCCCGTGTGCTACATCCAGTCTATCCAGCGGCTAGCAGAGGCGCCTCAGTAACCGTCCTTTCAAGAGCCATCCTTATCCCCCACCCACGCACTCTCACACTCACCCTCCCACCCACCAGGAGTTTGCCAATCCCGTGCGCTACATCCAGTCCATCCAACGGCTAGCAGAGGAGCACGGGATATGCCGCATCGTGCCGCCCGCCTCCTGGACGCTCCCTGCGGGCGCCTCTCTCTCCCAGGAGCACCTGCGCTCCCTACGCTGCCGCTACCCCACACGCGTGCAAGAAGTCAGTCGCCTGCAGGTGAGTGAGAGAGTGGTTTCAGATGAGTTTCTGAGACGCCTCCTGCTGCTGTCATTCTTCTCAGCAGCCTTCTTTTTTGCTTAATCGCCTCGCTTCAATCTTTCCCGGCACTGATCTCTCTAACTCTCTCCTCTCCTCCTCACTCCCTCATCTCTCGATGCACACCAGGTCCGCAAGCCCTGGACGGCAGCTGCTGGAAACAGCCGGGGTTATCAGGAGCACCCCCACCAGCAGATGCAGCAGCAGCAGCAACCAGAACCAGCACACCTGCAGCAACAGCCGCACCAGCAGCAGCAGCACCAGCAGCAGCAGCACCCGCAGCAGCAGCAGCAGCAAAGGCAGCGGCACCAGTACCGGCAGCGGCAGCGGCAGCGGCAGCAGCACTATATCCCCCCAGTCACCTCAGTTGACAACATTCCAATCATTCTCGCCCTAGCAGCCCCCGGCGGTCCCAATGACACCTGGCACGAGAAGCCCCCCAAGATAAAACCCCTTTCTTGCATCAGCTCCCCTAAAAGAACCCTCCACTGGATCAGCAAGGGCAAGCGGACACACAGAGGGGTGGGCGGTAGCAAAGAGGGGTTGAGTGCGGTGGGGCGGGGTGCGGAAGGGAGGGGGGTGGGTGAGGCCCGGTACCCCACACGGCTGTTCGTCCGCCCGCCGCTTCCTGTGCATGTTGGTTTAGAGTGCGAGTTTGGGTTCGAACCAGGGGAGAGGCACACTTTGAGGCAATTCCAGGCTTATGCAGAGAGGTTTGAAAGGAGCTATTTTGAAGGAGCGGGGGAGGGGACGGAGGGAGGTGGGGTGGGTGGTGGGAGGAGGAATGGAGGGGAATTTTCGTGTTCGGGGACTGGAAATGGAAATGTCGGTGAGGATGGGGATGGGAGGAATGGAGGGGTGCCGACGTGGGAGCAGGTGGAGGGGGAGTTTTGGAGGGTTGTGGAGGCACCAAGCGAGCGTATAGAGGTGAGAGGGCAAACGGGAGAGGTGGGGAATGTGATGTGACGTGGTGTGATGTGGTGTGGTGTGGTGTGGTGTGGTGCGGTGCGGTGCGGTGCGGTGCGGTGTGATGTGATGTGACGTGATGGGTGTAATGTGATGCGATGAAGTGAAGTGAAGTGCGATGAAGTGCGATGTGAATGTGGCAGGAGTTGTGTTAATCACTGTGCTTTCATTGATCCTTCCGTCTTCGCTGATCTCTGAGCATGTTGCATGTGCAGGTGCTGTATGCATCGGACGTGGAGAGGCACAACATACAACCTGCTCCCACCACACCGCAGGTGAAAGCAAAAGCTGCAGCAAATCCTGATGCAGCACCAGCAGGGCTGGCAGCACTAGCAGCGGTAGCAGCACTTGATGATGCTGAACTAAGGGGCTTTGATGCAGCAAGCCCAGCAGCACCTGCAGCAAATTCGGCAGCAACGGAAGACCATTTGCTGCCACCGGTGATGCTGTCTATGCGAAATACAGTACCGCCATTACCGTCAGTGTTGTCGACACCCATGCGGCGCCAACCGAGTCACAACAGCAGCAGCAGCAGCGTTGCAAGCAGCATGGGCGCAAGCAGAAGCAGCAGTATCGGCAGCAGCAGCGCCCGCGGTGCCGGCGGCGGCGGCGGCAGCGGCTGGGGCAGAGGCAGCGGCATTGACGGCAATGCGGGTGGTAGTAGAGATGGTGGTGTTGGTGGCACTAGTGGCGGTGGCGCTGGCTGCGGTAGAGGCAACGGTTTTGATCGCAATGCTGGTGGTAGTAGAGATGGTGGTTCTGCTGGCACTCGTGGCGGCGGCGGCGGCGGCGGCGGCAACAGCAGCGGCAGTGGTGGTGGGGGAGGGAGGTGGGACATGTCGAGTGTGGCGCGCATGGCACCATCAGTGCTGCAATTTGAGGAGGAGCCTATCTCAGGCATCACTGCGCCCTGGGTCTACTTCGGCATGTGCCTCTCCTCCTTCTGCTGGGTGCGTGCGTGCCTTTTGAGTTGCAAAGGGGTCATCTCTCGTGTGGTATCCTTTTGGTTTGATCAACTCAACTTCCATCTCTCCTTAGGTTTGCTTCGGCATGTGCCTCTCCTCCTTCTGCTGGGTGCGTGCCTCCTCGCTCCCTCTCTTCTCCTCTTTTCCTCTCCTCCTCCCTCCCTCTCCTTTCCTCTTTTCCTCTCCTCCTCTATTCCTTTCCTCCTCCCTTCCTCGCCTCCTCTTTACCTCTCCTCCCTTCCTCTCCTCCTCCGCTCCTCTCCTCCTCCCCTCCTTTCCTCCTCCCTTCTCTCTATGCTCGTCCGTCGCTGTTTCTTTTACTGTGTGTTGTCTCTCCCTTCCTTGCCAGTAACATGCGCTAGCTTCATGTGCTCTTTACCCGTATCTCTCAACATCCCAACTGTCCATCCCATGCGTCCCCAACCGTCCATCCCATGCGTCCCCAACCGTCCATCCCATGCGTCCCCAACCGTCCATCCCAACCGTCCATCCCATGCACGTGGCAGCATGTGGAGGATCATCATCTCAACTCACTCAACTACTTGCACTGGGGGCGTCCCAAGGTGTGGTACGGAGTGGCCAGCAGGCATGCAGAGCGGTTTGAAGCGGTGATGCACAAGCGCCTGCCCGAGGCCTTCCGTGGCATAGATGACCTGCTGCAAAGCCTTGTGAGTGCAGATGGACGGACAGATGAACGGGCAGTTGAACAAGCAGATGAACGGGCAGATGCATGGGCAGATTGGCGGGCAGATGGGTGTGGCAGATGGGTGGAGAGTTGAGCGGGCAAATGGGTGTGACATATGAGATTGCTAGAGCCTTGAAATACATCACATAAACAAATCATGGCAAACGGCACATTACGAATAAATTTGAGTTACCTACAACTCATAAACATGTCATGCGCCCCCCCCCTCCTCCCCTCCTCTCCGTTTCCTGCGCCCCCCAGGTGACGCAGCTGTCCCCGGCTGTGTTGCAGCAGGAGGGCATTCCTGTGGTGCGCCTCGTGCAGCACCCCAACGAGTTTGTGGTCACCTTTCCACGAGCCTACCACTCAGGTCAGATCAGATCAGCTGCCAGTGAGCGTCACTGTCACTCGTACATACCACGCAGCTCAGTGCGTCTCGTGCAGCGTCCCAACGAGTTTGTGGTCACCTTCCCGCGAGCCTACCACTCAGGTCAGTCAGATGCTACAGGAGGTGTTGTTGCCGTCGCCGTCCTGTCTGTCTGTCTGTCTGTCTGTCTACATTATGACTGCGCCATGTAGACATGATTGGCAGGCTGAAGCTAGGGTCTGGTTGTTCCAGAGTCGGGCTTTTTCTGGGGTTGTCTGATACGAGAGTGACCCCGAGGCAGGAAGGTAGTGTGGTGTGGTGTGGTGTGGTGTGGTGTGGTGTGGTTGTCAGCTGTTTGCGTGCTGTTTTGTAGCAACCTGCCCTGTCTGCTTTGTGTTCCGTTTTTTTGCATCTTGAAAACATCTCAGATGCAAACCCTAATACAGCTCGTTTTCACCAGCCGGGTCCTTCTCTACCAATTCCCCACTCCCTCCCACTCCAACGTTGCCCCTACCAAACGTTCCGAATTCATTCCTCCCACCCCAACCCTACTCCCCTCTCCAGGTTTCAACGTCGGGTTCAACTGTGCTGAGGCTGTCAACATGGCACCACCTGATTGGCTGCAGCACGGGCTGCGGGCAGTGGAGGGTTATCGTTCCATTGAGCGTAGCGCCACTCTCTCCCATGACAAACTGCTGCTGCGCGCTGCTGCTACTGTCCTTGAAGCTGCTGCTGCTGCAGCTGCTGCTGCTGTTGCTGGTGCTGATGCTGCTGGTGCTGATGCTGATACTGCTGCTGCTGCTGCTGCTGCTGCTGCTGCTGCTGCTGCTGCTGCTGAGGGGGCAGTGTGGTGTGAGAATGCGGAGACAATATGTGTTGCTTTGGAGGTGAGATCAAAATGGTGCAGGAAATACACTCCACTTTCCCCAGTTCGACACACACACTCACACACTCACACAGACACACCCACGCACCCACACACACACACACACACATGCTCACACACAAATCCCCACCCATGCACACAGGCACACAAACGCGCGCATTCACAAAACTCATTCTGACTTGTAACTCCGTCTGCTATTTCCATGTGGTTGCCACCCATCAACAGGAGCGTGTGTCTCTTGAGAAGAGCCGGCAACAAGCTCTTCTCCTACTCGCCACTCTGTCGCCGCTTTTTGAGACGCCTCAAATAACGTCTCAACACTCACCACTGTGACCTTCCATTCCATCTGCCAACCCAACCCTTTTGTGATTGCCACCCATCAACAGGAGCGAGTGTCTCTTGAGAAAAGCCGTCAACAAGCTCTTCTCCTACCTGCCACGCTGTCGCCACCGTCGCAGCCGTCGCAACCAGCACAAGCACCTTCTTTCCGCATATCACGCGTCAACACATTCCCTCCGCCCTCGGGCACAGCCCCACCCTCGGCTCCACAACGCTCCTCATGCCCTTCACCTCAGGCAACGGAGCGACCCCAAGCCGCACAAGCAGCACAAGCAGCGCAATCCATACCTGATTTGGATTTCCTGCAGTGCTGCTACTGCTCCTACGACCTCTACCTCTCCTTCGCCTCGTGCTGCCGTGCATGCTTCCCCAGGCAACCTGGCACCACCAGTGCAGCAGCAGGCGGGTCCGTCCTAGAAGCAGCACTAAGAGCACCACCACCAACAGCAGCAGCTACAGCAGAAGCAGATGAAGCAGGTGCGCTGGAAGGGTTGACTGCTTTGGGGTGCGCAGCAGGTGCTGACAGGGCTGCAGTTGCGGGTGCTGGTAGTGCTGCAGTTGCAGGTGCTGGCAGTGCTGCAGCTGCAGGTGCTAGTAGTGCTGCAGTGACCGGTGCCGGTGCCCCTCGGGTGGCTTGTATGGAGCATGCACGGCAGCTGGTGCAGGAATGTCCGCACAACACAGCCAGACCTCCTCTAAACCGCCTCAAAACACTTGGAACCGCACATGTAGAGCATGGGAGGCAGCCGGTGCAAGAGTGTCATGCGTGGGGTTGGGCGTGCAATGAGGCAGGAAGCTCAGGATGTGAGTTAGACCCGGTGCTGTTTGTGAGGTACACTGTGGAAGAGATGGAGGATACAGTGCAGCTACTGAAGGAGCTTAAAAGGGGTACAAGTGGGCAGCAGAAGGCAGGTGCAGATGAGGCAACTGTTGGGGCTGGCAGGACTCGTGCTGGGGGGGAAGGGGGAGCTTTCGGGGTTGCTGCTGCTCCTGCCACTGCCCCTGCTACTGCTACAGCTACTGCTGCAGTGAAGGCTGCTGCTACTGCTGCTGCTACTGCTGCTGCTGCTGCTGCCGCTGCTCCTTCTGCTTTCAATGCTCCTGCTGCTCCTGCTTGTACCTCGTTACCTGCCCCCCTTTCATTCTCCAATCATTCCAAACCTGCTTCAACAGATACTGCTCCTCGCCCTTCTTTCGTTGCTGCTGCTCCTCGTGCTCCCCTTCCTCCTCTCTCCACGCCCTCTGCATCGCTCTCTGTATCCGCATTGAAAGCTGTACCTGGATCTAACGCTGCCAGGAGAGCACCATTACACCCGTCTCCAACCTCTTTTACCTCGAAGAAATCATGCCTTTCACCAGCAGAGTCATCCCGCTCCTTCTTCTCTGCTCGTGGGTCCCCCTCTGCACTTCCCCCTCCCTCTGCTCCTGCTGCTTCTGCCTCTGCCTCTGCCTCTGCCTCTGCCTCTGCCTCTGCCTCTGTCTCAGCTTCTCTTCATAGCCCTCCCTCTCGTGCTGCTGTTAGGGCTGCGTTTTCCTCCACAGCCTCACAGCAACCTCCCTCCCCAGCCCCGTCCATCCCACCCAGAGCACCTGCGGTTCGTGCTGCCTTTCCTGCCAGAGTTCCTCCTCTTCATTCCACTGTGCCTGTCACAGTGGCTGCTGCAGCAATTGCAGCACGAACAGTAGCACCAGCAGCTCTAGCAGCAGCTTCAGTGGCTGCCGCTGCAGCAGGGAAAGGGGCAGCAAGGGGGAAGACAGGAGCGGTTGTTTCAGGAGCAAGGGGAAACGATCTGAGTAACCTTCATGCAACGATGCACACGCTAGGTGAGCAGCAGCAGCAGCAGGAGCAGGCAGAGGGGTTGTTGTTGCGGAAGAGGAAGAGGAGCATGGAGGGTGCGGAAGACCCTCTCAAGAAGAGCTGGCTGCGGCTGGAAGCTCGGGGTAAGGAGCGCTCAACCCTGCAACAAGGCTGTCAGTGGCAGCAGCAGCAGCAGCAGCTACAGCGGCGGCAGCAGCGAGAGGCAGAGATTGTGGTACTCTCGTCTGATGATGAGGATTAGGAACTGAAAGAGCAGGCAGAACAAGCGGAGCAGGCCAATCGGCAATAGGAGTCAGATCGGCAAGGCCAGCAATCACATGATGAGCATTGAGCACTGGAATCACCGTGCACGAGCTGGCTTTCTAGATATTACAAAAACAAGAGCGGCAATGCCAACAATCCATTGATGAGCATTGAGCACTGGATACACAGTTGCACAATTGATCTGCAGGCCTCCTGGACGCAAGTCAGGCTTGGCTTAGGAGACAGCTGGCATCAGAATCGGCTCACCTTCGCTGTAGCTGTCTCTTCTATTGACAACAGTGATGTTTTAAGTTCAGGAGCAGCTTCAAACACTAACAACCTCTACCATCGTGTAGTCAACGGTGTATGTTGACCCGGCGGACCCGCATCATGTTTTGAGATGCAAGCACCAGCATGGTCCAACTCGAGTTACGACGGGATGAAGCTTGCGGTGACGAGGATCTTTAAGGCGTCGGGGGTGATGATGGAGGATCGTGTAGTGCGGTCAGAGAAGCGGGTTGATGTTACGGTGCGATGACCAATGGATGGAGAGAATCGCGCTCTCGAGATGAGTGTCGCGGACTAGCTATCGCTTTCTCCATCTCTACTTGGGTAGTGCGGCTATTCTATAAGAGTGGAAACGTCAGAATACGGATACTTACACACCAATTGGCGCGCAATCGGTGCGTGCAGTTCACCTCTCTGATTGTAAAGAGGTAGGAGGGTTTAAAAGGTCGTTTTTATATTGGTTATGACAGAAGGGGACGTGCACTTAGGGCTAGGTGTGTCACAAGGGGGCTGTTGGGAGGATGACACTGCGTTTTTTACTTATTTTTCAAGGGGGCTGTTGGGAGGATGCTCGTTGGGGTGGCGGCGTGGCGCTATAACGGACTCAAGCCCGTGTCATCTTGCTCCATTTGGCGCCTTCCATGTGGGGAATGGATGTCGATCTGGTGGACAAGAAAGCGGGACGATGTCGAGGTGGAGCGTGGGGCTTTTTTTATGGACGGATCATACATGATGGATGCACGGACGTCAGTGTGAGAAACGGGAAGTGGTGTACGCTAATGAGTATGATGACAGCAAGGTATGAAGTTTAGGGGAGCGTTTGTTGGTATATGAGCGTACGTGGTCTCGACATGTCCATTTGTTGCTTAGCTACACATTCATGATGTACACGAACCAAGGTCATTCATGGTGGAGAGGAACGAGGGGACAAATTGTGGCCCACGATTGTAGGTGTGGATGGTATGTTAGCAGGAGTTGTGTAGCTTTGTGGAACGTATCTATGTACAATAATGATAAATTATATTTATTTACACATGCACCAACACATAACTTGGAGCACAGAAGTGAACCTACCTATAGGTTACATCAGGAGGATCCAAATGCAATGGATGCATACACACAAGGGATTACAATAAAGCTTATTGATCAATCAGATACGTTTAGCAAGAGTTTTCTAGAACTTTGTTAGTGAATGGCAATTTTGAAGGGCAAACAAGTTACAGTATATGTTACAAACAAGAGAATAAAATAAATGGATTCAAAATCATTCAGTTGCACGATCTGAGCTCATAACCTCCCCACGTCACCAGCTCCCGGCCTCTCGTCCTCACGTCCCTCTCCCAGTCATTCCTGCATCCTCAACTTGTGGCCCACGATTGTAGGTGTGGATGGTATGTTAGCAGGAGTTGTGTAGCTTTGTGGAACGTATCTATGTACAATAATGATAAATTATATTTATTTACACATGCACCAACACATAACTTGGAGCACAGAAGTGAACCTACCTATAGGTTACATCAGGAGGATCCAAATGCAATGGATGCATACACACAAGGGATTACAATAAAGCTTATTGATCAATCAGATACGTTTAGCAAGAGTTTTCTAGAACTTTGTTAGTGAATGGCAATTTTGAAGGGCAAACAAGTTACAGTATATGTTACAAACAAGAGAATAAAATAAATGGATTCAAAATCATTCAGTTGCACGATCTGAGCTCATAACCTCCCCACGTCACCAGCTCCCGGCCTCTCGTCCTCACGTCCCTCTCCCAGTCATTCCTGCATCCTCAACTTCCCTCTCCTCCTTCCCTTCAACTATCCTCTCATCCAACCCCCCCTAGGAGAAGCACAAGCACACAAACCCTTCGATCCATCCGTACTCCAAGATAGCATCCAGGAAGCACAAGGGTCGCAGGATTCCCTCCACTGCAAGCACACTGTTGCTTCCTTTCCCCCACCAAGTACGTTGCATCCCGGCCTTCTGAGTCCTCCCCCTCCCCCCCTCCACTCCACCTCAGCCTCCACCTAACCCTTCCACTTCCCTTCCCAGAGAAATCCAGATCGCCAGCTTGTTTCGGCACCTCATACTGCTGCCACGTGCGATTGGTCCTTGGCGCTATAACTAGAGCTTCTTGCTCTGTTTGCGTGCGGTTGAGGAAGTATCCCTGAAAGAGAGAAAGGGAAGGAAAGGGCACGGAGATGGAGAGAGTGTAGGAGGGGGAGAAGGTGTGTAAGTGAAGAGGGCCCCAAACGTTGCACTAGCGCCAATGCATGCATGGTAGTAGCACTAATATATGCATGCCAGAAGGCAGATATACAAAGGGCATAAAGTGTACGCATTTGAGAAGGAAATTGGGTGTGCATACGAGTCTAAACAAAACGTAATGAAATGAAATCAGAACAAAACCTGGTCAGGAGGAACTCACTTGACGATGGGTTGCACGGCGATCACGGATTTCACCACATGCCCGAAAGCGTCCTTCCACGTCAGGCTCCCGTACTTGAATTCCCATGACGCGGCCGTCACCGAGAATTTCACAGTGTAAGTCGCCGATCCGCCCACGGGCAGCGACAGCTTCAAAGGAGTAATCGTAACCGTCACGCCAGGAGGCGACACCCACGAAACTGTGTAGTTTGATGCCGTTGACCCGACGTTCGTGACAGTACGCGTGACGGACACCGATTTGCTCAGCCTGGCAACCGCGATGGTGGGCCGATTCAGCATGTACGGCTTTACTGCAACCAACCGGTTTCGCGTGCCAAGCAAGCCGCGCGCCTTGGTCAAACCCTGCCCGGCGAGAAAATTATAATAATCCGTCGCACCAGCGTTGTACGTCAGCCCAGGGTCGAGAACTCCCTCTGCGTTCACGTGCCCTGCGCCCATATCCCACGGGGTCGCGGTCGCGCCGCTGCTGAGCTGGATCTTCTGCTCCTTGGTATCTGTGACCGTCGCGCTTGTCATGATTGCGGAAAAGATCTGCGCAGGGGTCCAGTTCGGGTGCTGCTGCACAATCAGCGCGACAACCCCCGCCATGTGCGGGGTCGCCATGGACGTCCCGGAAATCATGGAAAATCCGTAATCCGCGCCAGGGCTCGAGCCGCGCCACGCGGACCAGAGAGACACGCCGGGAGCAGTGATATCCGGCTTGAGAATGTCGTTGCACGGGCGCGACGCGGAGACGGTCGCGTAGGGGTTCGCGACGGGGCCAGTGGAGGAGAAATACGCCATGGCGGGCGCGGCGAGATCCATATTTCGCTCGAAATCCGCCGAGAAGGTGACAGTGGGCGAGGACGTCGACCGGACATACGTCCTCAGCGAGTCGGCGGCTAGAAATGAGAGATAGATCACGGGCATGCGCTCATCGTAGGGCGTGAAAGGCTCCAGAGCGTGCGGGATGTTGAGGAGCAGAATCCCCTTGGCTCCCTTCATCATCAGATCAGATACCTTGTCGGAAGTCGGCACGCCACCGTACGAGCAGAGCACGTATTTGCCGTTGACCTTGGTAGCGTCGAGCGCGTAGGGCAGGCATTGGTCCGATTTGCCGATGGTGATGCCGGTTCGGCGCGCCGCGAGTCCCTCGATGATGGGCGCTGTGTCGGGTTCGACGCCTCCTGCTCCGAAGCCAGAGCCCTGAAGCTCTGTGCCGTCGCCCAGGGTGATTGTGGTGAGGAATCGCCGGCCTATGGTGCTGGTGTGCGTGATAGAGGGGTGGGCGAGAGGGAGAGAGGGAGGAGTAGGGAGGGAGGGGGAGTGTGAGGAGAATGCAAGAACGGGGAAAGTCAAGGGGTGTGGTAAGCAGCAACGCTGCACGATGCTGTGAGATGGTGTGCGGTGGTGCGCGGTGCGTCGGGCTGTGTGTGTGGTGCCGGCAGGGCGGCCCTCTTACCTGGCGCCAACGGTGAGGTAGAAGGGCGAGAAGTTGGAGAGCGTGCGATACATTTGACCGCCGGTCGAAGGGGGGCCGGAGTTGCCTGCTGCGTACACCACTGCCACGTTCGCCTGGAATGGCACGGACACGCGGACGGAGAGGGGAGGGCAAGGGAAGGGAGAGGAGAAGAGGAGGGAGGAGGGACGAAGCGGGTGAGACAAGGACGCGGGGATAAAGATTGCAAAAGAAGCATGAAAGAAGGGTTTTCCCCCACCACACGCCCACGCACACGCAAGCGCAGACGAGCACGCCCACAGCGCATCAGCGCGCGCACTCACAAGGTTGGCGTAGAGATATGGCATGTCGTCGAAAGTTGAGTCGACTCAAAAATTGAATCATCACACGCGGATTATATGTGGAGAGAATGTCGGTCGCACTCACAAGGTTGGCATAGAGGTATGGCATGTCGTCGAAATAAGTGGCTTCGGGATCCAGGCCGCCCAGCGACAGGCTGAGCACATCCACGCCGTCCGCCACGGCGTAATTCACGGCGGCCTCGATGTCCGCCCACGCCGCGGTCATGCCGCCCGAGTTGGAGTTGGACCAGAACACCTTGTACGCCGCGACGCGCGCGCGCGGCGCCATGCCCGACGCCATGCCCACGAGCTGGCCGCGCGTCGTGAACACGTCCACGTCGCTGTTGCCCGCCGCCGCTCTGAGAGGAGGCGACGCGGAGAAACGCGGAGGGAACGCGGGGGAACGAGAGGAGGGGAAGGGGTTGGGGATAGCGGCAAGGACAGACGAGAATGAGAAGTAACCGTGTTATCCTCGTTCTCCTGTCCCCTTCCCGCCTCACGCCCAGCTCAACCCACTCTCCGTCCCTCCCTCGATCCCTCCCTCCCTCCGTGCCCGTGACTTACGCCGCACACCACGTGCCGTGGCCGTCCGCGTCGCGCGCGGAGGCCCAGTCGTACGAGAGGTCCTCCACGTCGCCGGTCATCTCGCGGAAGCCGGCGCTGAAGTACCGCGCGCCGATGAGCTTGTTGTTGCACGCGGGGAAGTCGTCGCTCGTCTGGCACACGCCGCGCCACGACGTGGGGGGAGCTTCGTACGGGACGGTGGTCTGGAGAGAGGGAGGCGGAGAGGTGGGAGATACGCGGGTAAAGGGGCAAAGGGGGAGAAAAGAGGAGGCGAAGGGAGGAGATTGGGAGGAGATGAGTTGCACGCAGATGAGCAGCTATTCGCGCGCGCCGTGCGCTCTCTCGCTCCTCGTTCTCGCTTCTCACATTACCCCACGGTTACCAAAGAAAGATGCTTTCGAAAATGCAACGAGCCCACTAAACAACCTTCGATCAACCCTCCGCCCTTCCCGTCCCTTCTCGCTCCTCTTTTCCGTGCCTGCTCCCAGCATCTCAGGATCTCATTTTCTCACGGCTCAACGCACGTTATCGGCGAACGAGGGGTGTTCGGGCCAGATGCCTGTGTCCACGATCCCCACCACCACGTCCTCTCCGGCGTTTGCCTGCCCGCCATTCACGGCCCAGAGATTGTCCGGTAGCTGTAAGAAATCCGCCGAGTCTGTCGTCAGCTTGTGCATCGTGTACGACGGAAACACGTCAGCAACGTCAGGATGCCGCTTAAGTTGTTCCACTTTATCCTGGGAGAGTGTCGCCGCGAATCCGTTACTGACGAACTTGTAACTGTACAGGACGTTTTTCATGGGGAGATTAATATCCTTCGCGACTTTCTCCTGCATGCGCCCGAGCATTTTCGCGAACGATTTCGCGGGCCCTTTGCGGAGATTGATCCGCGGAAGCCGCTGGCGGAGGCGCTGCCCCGCCGCGGCCGCCCATTGTGCCGCGCGCGTGCGCGGAGCCGTGGCCTCGTACCCCGCGATTCCGCCAGTGTACCCCGCGAGCGGGGGAACTCCGCGCATGCGCACAATGTAGACCCTGTTCCCCGTGGGCGCCGCAACAGTAGCGGTGGAAGGTCCCGCTTCAGAGGTTATAGGCTGGCCGACGGCGGAAGAGGAGGAAGATTGATCGGTCGGGGTCGGATCTTGGGAAGCCCCAGCCGCGGGATCTGCGGCGGGATACGCGGGTCGGAGGAAGGGGGCGCGGAAAAGGGGGAACGAGGGTGGATGGGGAAGTGGACAGAAAAGCCGCCGCGGGGGGGGGGGGGGGGGGGGGGGGGGGTGGTGGGGGGAAGGGTCGGACGGGGAAAACAGACGGATGGGGGATGATAGAGCAAAATGGGGAGCGGAGGAACGGTAAGGGGTGTGAAAAGGCAGGGCGAGAAGAGGTGTCGCATGGGACGAACCACGATAATGCGGAGGTACGGGGCTAGCAACGGCGGCCTTTTATGTAACGATAAGAGAATAGTTGTCTTTTTTAACTAGTCCAGCCGCGGAGTGACGTAAAGCTGTGGAAATGGTTGTGCGAGCCCAGCAAGAAAGGCGTTCGGGCTTTGCAGCGGCGGAAACACGAGGGAGGAGACGAGGTCGGGGGGAACAAGAGGAGGGAGAGGCAGTTGTCGTGGCAGCGAGGCGCGCGAGAAAGGGAGCGTTGAAGGTGAAGCGAACGAATCGTATGAAACGAACCGCGCGACATCGCGCGAAAGGACCTAATTTGGCCGAATCGGGCGGAACAATGGCGACCGGCAACAATGTTATGAACGTTCCTCTCTGAGCGTACCATTCTGTGCGACGGCGAGCGTTGCTGCTGAGACGAAGAGCGCTAGAAGCGCAAGCGCGAGCGGGCGCGTGGTAAGGGTAGCCATGTCCGAGCCGCATGTACTGGTAGCCTAAGCTTTCTGACGGAAATTTTATTTTCCAAGGGATGAGGTTATTTCTGCAGTAACCATACAATGAGGGTCTTTGCGTGTGAAAATGTTGCCGTGTGAAGCGCTTCGTGGTGCGCTAACGAATTCGCCGACTCTAATTTACGGATGTAGGAGAAGATGATGGTCAGGGGAGGTCGCCTCTGCAGCTAGGTGCAAGCGGGGGAGCAAAGGAAGCAGCCTAGGAGAAGCTGCAGCAAAGGAAATGACCAGGCCGCGGCTCGTGGGAAGGATTACATGCTGTGGTTGGGAGGTTGTTGGCTGACAGGCAGGACACATCTCAGCTCAGGGAGGGGTGGAGGAGGTTGGCTGGAGGAATGTTTTGGGCTCTTTGCGGAAGTGTACACAACACACCGCAAGATCAGGTCTGTCGTGGCCAAAGGACCGATGGAACTCCTCGCTTGTTCTGCCTGTATCGCTTGGATTGGTCCAAGCAAATTTCAGGGAGGAAGGAAATTAGGTTCTAGTGTTAGTACTTTTCTTACATCTGAGGGTATTCTGTAACCCGTTTAGTAGTGATCCTCCTCAATCGAAGCAGCTGAGACGTGCTTATATAAAACCTCTCCCTCCGAAAGTTTCAGAATCCTTGAAAGCTGGATGAAATGGAGGATGTGAGGCAAACAGTTCAAAGCCAAAGCAGGAGGTGGCAATCAAGCTGTGCTCGACTGAGCACAGCTTGTCGAGCAATCGCGTGAGCAAGATCAGTAGCTGTGGGAGAAATTTAAAAATTTACCGCCGACACAAGTGTATCGGAAGAGTTTGAGCAGAAACAGGTTGTTGGCGGGGTATAACAGTGATGACTGTAGGTGACGAGAGACCGCCTGGGAACAGTAAAAACGGTGCAGAAATCTCGTGTGATTACTCAACGGAAAAACTCTACTGTCGCCGACCTCACAAAAAGCCAGAAAATCACACCTCACATGTTGCAGCGTTTATTCACGCGGCTAGCCTTCCGAGGTCTGCGTGTTACTCATCTTCTCAGGAGTTTCAACAAATAGCTCAACTGAGCCTCTTCGGCGTTAACATGCGAATTACAATAAGGATGATGCCAGCGATAAATCGTCTTTCCATTCTGCCCGTGGTTGTGTGATAGCCGCATTCTCATCAAAACCTGCAAGACTGTTTTCCTAACCACCTGCCCCTACCTGTCTCGACAAGCCGCCTCTCCATTCCACAAATAAACTCAGGAGAGAATGACAGAGTTCCGATACAGCGTAGTTCCGTTACGGAACATCTCTCCAAACCCGTACTTTCAACCAGCCTAACCAATCAACTTGTGAAGTCGAATGCATTGCACATTCTAGGATTAGGAAAGGGGCATGCCCTTTGTTGTGCATTCGACATCATGTTTCATGCTAAGGTGGCATGTATGGTTGGTACGGTGTAAGTGATAGGGCATAAATGTGCTCTCATCACAAGGAGTACAAAGGTTAGCAAGCAAGGAGACAAAAGCCTCCCTATTTGTACAAAGCAGTCTACATGGATATGGGTTGCACGGCAATCACAGAGCGAATTGAATGCCCAAGCTCATCCCTCCACGTCAAGCTACCAAACGAGAAGCCAGAATACACACCCGTGGCCTTCAACTCAACCGTGAACACCTGAGTCTTGCCAGGCTCTATCGTAAACGAAGGTGGGTAAAGAGTCACACTCGCACCAAAAGGAGGCACTACCTCTCCTGTGTAATTTGAGGCAACGGTGGCCGTGTTCACCACCCACCGCGTCACATTCACGGCGCCTCGTAGCCTTGAAACCGAGATTTGCGGCCGGTTGAGGTTGTAAGCAGGGATAGCATTCAGGGACGTGTTTCTCGACACAAGTAGCCGCGCCCTCGTCATATTCTGCCCGGCGAGAAAATTTAAGTAATGGGCAGGGGCAGCAGGGTAGGTCAGCCCCGGGTCGAGAAGCCTCTCCGGGTTCACATGCCCCTGGCCCATGTCAAAGGGAGAGGCAGGTGTTCCAGACGAAGTGCTGATGGGATTCCCGAGGTTGTTAGTCGTGCTGGCGGTGGTCATGATTGCAGACATGACCTGTGGAACCGTCCATGTGGGGTTTCGCTGAATGAGCAGCGCAGCAATCCCGGCAACGTGCGGTGTGGCCATGGATGTTCCAGAAATCATGTTGAAGCGAGCAGTTGTTTTCGTGGCGAGTGTCGAGCCGCGCCACGCTCCCCAGAGAGATACTCCCGGAGCAATCACGTCCGGCTTGAGGATGTCGTTTGTCGGGTAGGTTGCACCGACGGCCACGTCGGGATTGGCCACCGGGCCTGTGGAGGAGAACGATGCGGTAACCGGAGCTACAGCAGCGGCGGGATCTGTAACGTAGGAGGCGGCGAGGCTGGCTGTCGGGGTGGTTTGGGATCTGATGAAGGTTCGGATAGTGACGGCTGCAGCAGCATCCACATACATCATGGGCAGGCGGGAATCATAGGGCAGGTAGTATCTTGCAGTCTCAGGTACGTTGGTGATTAGCAGTGCTCTTGCACCCCGTGCTACTGCTTCTCTGATTTTTGTCTCCAGTGCTGCCCCCCCACCGTACTGACACAGCAGAATCCGCCCCGAGACTTTAGCAGCGTCGAGCGACCCGCCGTAACAGTACAGCGCCTTGAAGTTTGTAACGGAGGAGCTCTTAGCGAGGAGTGAATCCACGATTCCCACGTTCTGGGTGTTCACGCTCCCCCCTCCCAGCCCGTCCAACGTGAGGACTGTCCCGTCGGCGAGAGTGAGATTCGTGAGGTAGCGGCGCGAGATGGTGGAGGCGCCAACGGTGAGGTAGAAGGGCGAGAAGTTGGAGATGGTGCGATACATTGATGCACTGTAGGGCGGTGGGCCCTCGTTGCCCGCTGCGTACACCACCACTGTGCCCGCCTGGGAGGAGAGGGAGGGGGTGGGGGGAGGGGGGGAGGGCGGGGTGAAGGATGAGGAGACGCAAGTGAGTGATGGTGGGTTGGAAAGTGGAAGGAGGGTGGAAGCGGACGGAAGAGAGTATTGGTCCTCCCGAGGCATTGCCTCGTCCACAGTAGTAGACGAGAAGATATGAAAGGATGCAAGCTCCTCAGGGTAAGACGGAAGGAATTTAGACGGTACGACTGTCGTTGCTTACCGCATTGGCATAGAAGTAAGGCAAGTCGTCTAGATAGTCTGCGGAGGGATCCAGGCCGCCCAGCGACAGGCTGAGCACATCCACGCCGTCCGCCACGGCGCGATTCACGCCGGCCTCGATATCCGCCCACGTGGCAGTCGCGCCGCCCGAGTTGTAATTCGACCAGAACACCTTGTACATCGCGACGCGCGCGCGCGGAGCCATTCCGCTCGCGAGCCCCGCGGTCTGCCCGCGCGCGAGCGCGACGCTCACGTTGGCGTTGCCGGCGGCGGCGCTGGCGCACCACGTGCCGTGGCCGTCGGCGTCGCGCGCGGAGAGCCAGTCCGCGGAGAGGCTCTCGCGCCCGTAGGCCTGGCGGAAGCCGGAAACGAAGTAGCGCGCGCCGATGAGCTTGCGGTTGCAGCGCGGGAAGTCCTTGGAGGTCTGGCAGGTGCCGCGCCACGTGGCGGGCGGAGCGGAATACGTGCCCTGGAGAAGGAGAGAAATGCGGAAGATAATTGGGACGAGAAAGGGGAAGCAAAGTGGGTGAGAAGGGGAAATAACACGAGAGGAGGGACGGGAAGAGAGGACGACACGGAAGTGTGGAAAATGAGGGATGAGGAACAGGGAAAAGGCTACACTCGTGGGCGTGGGAGAAGGATGCGATCGCAGTGGGGTAGAATGCGGTGCACAGCAGTGTTGTAATTGTTCGAGTGTGTGGTAAGCAGGTGCAATCGCACTCACATCATCAGCGAACGAGGGATGGTCGGGCCAGATGCCGGTGTCCACGACCCCCACCACCACGCCCTCCCCCGCGCTGCTCTGCCCGCCTGCAGCCGCCCACAGCGAGCCCGGCAGGCGCAGGAACGTGGGAGTGTTGGTTGACGCCTTGTACACGCGCTGGCTCGGACGGACCGATAGAACTGACGGATGGTTGCGCAGCCGGCGGATCTGGCCGGCAGTGAGCGTCGCGGCAAACCCGTTGGTAACGTAACGGTAGCTGGTAGGGACATCCGTTGTCACGGGGGCGGGGAAGGGGGGAGAAGGGAAGGGAGGGGCGTAGCGGAGGAGGGAGAACCGTTTAGCCTGGTGAATGAGCGTTTACGGAAACGACATCTGAAAGGCTAGCGTTCGCGCAGACGCTTTTAAATCATTTTCAAGAGTTGCGCAAAGTAACACGCGACACTCACCTGTGCGCCACGGCGGAAGCAGGCAAGCTGACGTCACGAGCAACCTGCTCCTGTTGTTGCCCGAGCCACCGCACCAGCGTCCGCACTACATTCGACTGCGCGTCGAACCGCCGCGGCCGCCGCAACCGGCCGCCAAGCGACCCCGCCGCCGCCGTCGCCCCCGTTAACTGTGCCGCCATGGCTGCGCCGGCGGAAGTGGCGGCTTCCGCGGTTTGGGCGACGTCGGGAGAAGAGCCGTAGAAGGAAACGCCGTCGATGCCGAGAGTTTGCGCGGCTACGGGGGCGGATCGGAGGCGGACGATGTAGAGAGGGGACGAGGCGGGAGGTTTGGCGCGCGGTACTGTTGGCGGGGCGAGGGGGTGAAGGGGTGAGGGGAAGGCGGGAGAGGGGTGAGGCGGAGAGATGGGAGAGAGGGCAGAGAGGCGGAAGGAATTGAAGTGCGGGGAGAGGGGCTTAGACGAAGGAGAGAGAGAGGAAGAGCGAGAGGCGAAACAGAAGACGGGCGAAGAGGATAAGCCGGAGCGAGAGAGGAAGAGCGAGGGGCGAAACAGAAGACGGGCGAAGAGGGTAAGCCGGAGCGAGAGAGCGTCAGATATGAAAGGACAGAGGCTTAGAGGCCAAACAGGAGGAGGGAAACGAAGGGGAGAGGTGGGAGAGGAGGAAGGGCTT